TGCTGCCACAAACACCTGGCAAAAGAGGCCTGATCAGCCTTGTCAAAGCAACAATCCCCTGCTCCGCAATAGCCGATGCACCGCACTGTGGAGACGAGACAGAATCTCTCGCCATAGAGATCCACCTGGCCGGGGGACTCCTCAAACTGTACAACGTGTACAACCGGCCAGGCTGTAGTAGCTTAGATATTAGCCAGGTCTGTGCGTCTGCTGCACAAGACCGAGTGGTCATTGGGGGAGACTTCAATGCACATCATCCCATCCTGGCTCCCTGCCGGGGACCGGATGCGGCTGGCCGTCACATAGCCAGCGTGCTTGAGACGTTCCCCGAGATCGCTCTCCTCAACACCCGAGAGCCAACGCATGTCGGCGGTGGGGTACTAGACCTCACCCTGGTCACTGCGACTCTGGTGGACAGGATTAGCTGGTGTGTTGGTGAGACTGTCACAAGTGACCATTACGGCACGGTAACCACACTCATGGACGCAGGTCCAACCGAAATCCCACGACCAAATCCAAGATGGAAAACAGACAAGGCCAACTGGCAGGCGTTTCAGAACGCCTTGGCTCACTGTCTGAGAGGCAATGTATCCACACAAGCCGAAAACGTGGATGTGCTGGAAGCCAGACTGGTAGAAGCCATAAATCAAGCAGCCTCACTGACCATACCCAGAACTCGGCCCGGGTCCAGGCGTCACAAGGACGCCTGGTACTTTAACGACGAGATCAGGGAGGTCAACCACAGGGTGAACATGTGCCGAAAACTCTTCCGAAGGCAAAGAACCCCCGACAACCTCGCACTGCTGAGGGAGGCTATCAGGGATGCCAAGGAAACTGCCAACAGAGTCAGGCAGGAGACGTGGTTGGAATGGTGTGAGTCCTTCAATCACCAAACCACCATCTCAGAGCTGTGGCAACTGGTCAGGCGAGCTACCAGCCGCTCAGCCCCGAGACGAACGCACTACGACCCTCAAGCAGAGGCAAACAGACTGGTGCACGAGTTCTCCGAGAGAACAAGCAGCAACAGTCTACCAGCTGAGCTGAGGGCCAAACAAGAAAGCCTGAAAGCAGACAGACTTGCTCAGATCAGAGAAAGGGCAGCCGAAGCCGATAACTCAGACGTTAACTTTTCTCTGAGGGAACTTCGAAAAGCCTACAAGTTGAGTTCCAATACAGCCCCGGGCTCTGATGGGATCACATATCCCATTATCTCCCGCCTAGGACGAGAAGGTGAACTTGCACTCCTGCAACTCATTAACAAGTCCTGGGAATCTTCCTCTCTACCGCAGAGCTGGAAGAGGGCTACCATAGTTCCCATCCCAAAACCCAAGGAACCGGTGAATTACCGCCCCATCTCTCTCCTCAGCTGTCTGGCCAAGACGCCCGAGAGGATGGTACTGAACCGGCTCCTGTGGAAAATGGGACCTCCACACGAACACCTGCATGGGTTCACCAGGGGAATGAGCACTGCACACAGCATAGTGGCGCCACGCTCTTGAGCACAGTCAGCACAACCTCAGCCGTGGTAGTATTCCTCGACCTGGAAAAGGCCTTTGAACTAGCAAGCCCTCTTGCTATTCAGGAGTCCCTGGCCCAGAAGGGAATCAGAGGAAAGCTCTTGGCTTGGATAGGTGACTACTTTAGGAACAGAACAGCCAGAGTAAAGTTCCAGGGTCACCTATCGCAGCACTTGCCACTGGAAAATGGGACACCACAGGGTGGGGTTCTCAGTCCAACCCTATTTAACGTACTTATCTCCTGTATCCTCAACATAAACCTCCCGACGGGGTGCAAGATCGTCTCTTATGCAGATGATCTTGCCATCACCGCCATTGGGACACAATGCCTAAGTAGAGCCCAGCGTTGTCTGGACCTTGTGTCTGAGGAGTGTTGCAGGACAGGACTCAACAGCCAAATCTAAGGCCATGGCTCTGGGAAAGCGAGTTCAAGGCACAAGTCTGAAAATCCAGGGAGTAGACTTGGAATGGGTCCCGGTGTTCCAATACCTTGGGGTATGGGTAGACCGGACCCTCTCCTTCCGGCAGGAGAGTAAGTACCTGGTCGACCGATGCAAAGCAAGACTGAGCATCATGAGAGCCATGACTGGGAAACACATAGGAGCCAGACACAAAGTACTAAGAGCCTTCTATGTACATGCTGTCAGGCCCATTGTGGATTACGCCTCAGTCGCCCTAATTGGCAGAAAGAAAAAATACAGAGAAAAAATGGAAACAGTCCAAAATCAAGCTGCCAGGTGGTCAAAGGTCCCCAACCTCCTGATGGAGGCCAACCTTTTCCCCCTGGACTCACGAATTGATCAAATGGCAGCCAATTTCTTTGCAAAGGTCATCCAGGCTCCCAGGAACACGAGCCTAAGAGAAAAATTAGTCAGACGCCTGGAACAAGACAACGAGCTCTTTGCCAACAACACGTGGCTGTCCCACACAGCCAGGGTGTTGATAAGCTTTGAGCTCAAAGAGCAGCTCCTCACCAAGGGCATGGACTCCCCCCACCCTGACTTTGTCGAAGCCCCGCCGTGGGCACAAAGTTCGATAGAGTTCTCGGTCATGAGATTACCGCTCAAAAAGACCGAATATCCCACGCCTGGTCTAAAGGTAGAGACCCACAGGGTCATATCAGCCATCACCCCCCCGGGTAGTAGAATCTACTACACGGATGGATCGGTCGATCCAGCCCACGCGTCCCCAAAGGAAGGACACGTAGTCATACATACTGACTCTAGGGCAACCACTGACTCTCTCAAGCTCAGCTCACCCAAAGACAATATCTACCTCCTGACCACAATACTGACAATAGCCCAAAGAATACTGGCTCAGGGTAGAAGAATCATTATTAACTTGGTCCCTAGCCATATTGGCATCAGAGGGAACGAACTTGCTGACAGACTAGCAGTCTCTGGCAGGGGTATGCCCCCTAGTCCCATGATCATTGCACCTAGCCGTAGTTTACTTCGGAAGAAGAGTACTCCTTCCTCCTGCAGCTTCACAGAGAGGCAACGAGATCCTCCCCCTCGGCCAGATGGTATTCAGAAGCAACGGGCTATTAACCTCTGGCACTCTCTGAGTTAAAAAACAGACGAACCGAAGTCATTCTCCACAGAATGCGCCTAGGTTACCACTGTAAATGGAAGATAATTGAGACCATTGTCCGTGAAGAGAGGTGTTGCATGCATTGCGGCGAGCCGAACGCCACACTTATACATTACTTAGAGAATTGTGTACACAAACAATTCCTGAGACAGGGACCCCCGACAACAATCGCCGTGCTGGTAAAGAGACTTTGCGATTCGCTTACCCCGTGGCAGCAGGAGCGCCTGCTGGCAATCCCACCGCCACGGTAAGCACCAAGTGTCATAGAATGAAATGAGTCAGCCCTAAAAAGCTGACACAGGCCGGGCCATAGCCGAAGGCCCGGGTGAAGCTAGAACTTCGCAAATCGTAATCGTTACCACGGCTAGTCACTTTGCCCGCCTCGGCCCGCCCAGTGGTCGTGGGATCAGCGCTGACGAACTATAGACGGAGAGATGTCAAGGACGGAACATCTTACAAACTTGCTACGGACTCTGACTCGATTGCCTGTGATTATGGAAGTGCACACGTGCAATTGCATAAGGCAGACACGCGAATCAAAGGACGAGCAAGATGGAGATATTCTACGGAAAAAAAGGAGAAAAAAGAATACCACTCCTTAAAAAAAAAAAAAAAAAAAAAAAAAAAAAAAAAAAAAATATATATATATATATATATATATATATATATATATATATATATATATATATATATATATATATATATATATATATATATATAGCCTAATCTATTCCCCTATTCATATCATGTACCCTGTTCACCCATACCCCATTCGTACCCTTGTTGACACACTCTCGCATGAATAACTTATGTTTACATTCGTTCGACCTTGTAACCGCACTGTTTGCTCTTTGATTTTCGCTCTTGTTCCTGTTCATTTTGTTTGATTTTTGTTTTTATGTTTTATACGTACTTGCTCACCATTGCTTTGCTTGCTTGGGTGCCTACTTGCTTGCTTGCTTACTTGCTTTTTTTCACCCTATTAATTCACCATTATTTCATATGTATGTATATGCTCCTTTTCGTTTTCCTCCACGCACATCATCTACTCGCCTTTTACTTGCTCCCTCCTCCCCTTTTCTTTCTTTCTTTCTTCCTTTTTCCTTCTTTCTTTCCTTCTTCTTCCTTCTTCTTCCCTTTTTTCCCTCCTCCTCCCCCTCCTCCTCTCTCTCTTGCTTTCTCACCTCCTCTCACTCACTCTCAGTCACTCCTCCCGTTTTTTTCTTTCCTGTTTTTACCATCATCTTTCTCGTTCGTTCTTATTATTACCATGTTTTTACCTATGTTATGTTTTGTTTTGTATATGTATCGTAATGTCTCGTGTTGTTCACCAAAAAAGTGACCCACTGAACCTCGCTCTCAGCTCCTAGGAGCTGGAAGGGAGGCAGGCGAGGGTCTCACCTGCAATAGGCTATCATAGCGGGCCCACACCTACTATAACCCCTAGCAGGCGAAAAAAAATGTGTATATGTTTGCATACGTATGTATGTGTACATGCAGGTGTGTGCGTGTGTATGTGTATATATATACTGCACTCTTATGTGTATCTCCATGTTTGCGTTCGCACTTTTTATTTTATTCGACTTTTTGTTACGTCTAACACACATATCTTCTCGTGTTCTTCTTCGAGTACTGAACGTTATTTTCAACAAATAAAGAAAAAGAAAAGGTGTCTCCTGTCAACATGGCCTCTTATCCAGCAACAAGATGCTCAACCAACAACCACCCTCCCAACCAGAAAATAAAGAAAACACCACGCAAGGGGTCTCGCCCCCCATCTTTATTACTTAACTTTTTTTCAATTTCTAGGTAGCTAGCTACCATAGCTTCCCTTCCCCTCCTTAACCTAAGGAATCCTCCTCCTCCTCCCCCTTTAGTTCATCTGACGGG